GTTCGAGCCCCGGGTTGGGCCCTGTGCTGACAGCTCAGAGCCTGGAGTCTGCTTTGGATTCTGTGTCTCCCTCTCTCTCTGACCCTCACCCGCTTGCACTATGTGTGTCTCTCTCTCTTAAAAATAAACGTTAAAAAAGTTTTTAATATAAATGAATAAATAAAATAGCAAAAAGTGAAATGCCTAATAATAGGGCAACTCATATTCTGTGATAGAAAAAGAAATTTCACAGAAATACAGTTACTACAAGGTATACATTATACAGATTGCTGAAGGTAGAAGCCGAAATACATGTTCACATCCATATATGTGTGTGTGAGAGAGAGAGAGAGAGAGAGAGGGAGGGAGGGATGAACTCGGTGAAGCATGGATATAGGGCAGTATTACAGACCAACTCCGGGTCTTCCCGGAACCTGGCACGAGTCACAGGTCGGTTACAGGGCGCCCCGCAGAGAGAGCACAGCACTTCGCCTCCTTGACGGCTCAGAAGGAGAAGAGCGCTTCCACTGGTAAAGCATTTCCACGCCTGTGATTTCACTTAATCTTCCAAACGACCCCAAGAGAGCAGCAGAGATTATCATGATCATACAGAGACGTGCCACGGATCGCGCCCTTCACAATGGGGGCCACAGAGCCCCTCCCCGCTGCCTCCACGCTGCGGGAGACCCAGATTTTCCCAGGAAAACACAGACTTCAGAACCGCAAAACCGAAAGCTAGCCGCGAGCCCTGCTGGCACCTTCGGGGATAACTAAAAATAAAGAGCAGGGAGGGCCAAGGAGAGAGCAGGTCCGCTGGCCCGGCAGCTGCCCTGAGCTCACCTTGCGGACGGCCCGCAGATGGGGGTGGGGGGCACCAGGCCGGGGGGCAGTTACAGCTGGTGCGCACCCGGAGGACCCGGGCTGCTGCGGTCCCTGCGCAAGGGGCACTGAACGGCCGCTCCTGCCCTCGGAGGTCAGCGTGCACCGTGCTCCTTCCGTGGGGGGAATGGGGGTGGGAAGAGACCCTCCCCTGCAGGGCCGGCTACACCGTCCTCGGGAAGTCTCCCTCCTTCTTCCCGCCTGGTAGCTCCGTCAGTTCAGCACCTGACTCTTGATTTCGGCTCAGCTCAAGATCTCACAGTTCGTGGGATCAAGCCCCACGTCGGGCTCTGAGCCGATAGAGCAGAGCCTGCTTGCGATTCTCCCTCCCTCTCTGCCCTTCCTCTGCTTGCTCTCTCTCTCTCAAAATAAATAAGCTTTTAAAAAAAGTTTTTTTAAAAAAAGCCTTCCACCCAGAGGAGAAAGTAGGGCAGCAGAGGGACGCAGGGACACCCTGAGCGCCTTCTGGCAGGAAGGCCAGCCACGCAGGGCCCTGATGGACTGAGGCCACAGGCACAGCTGTTAGAAGCGTGCATTCTGAGGTGCCACGAGCTCGGATCCCATTCCAGTGCCCCCAGAAGAAGGGGCAGTCCAGCCTGGACAGCTGTGCCTTGGGCCATCAATGACGCAGCCCTTCCTTCCGCAGAGCCTCCTGGCGGCCAGCAGGGGGGCCAGCAGGGGTCATCTCCACACAGCCAAGGTCACTCCTTGTATAGCCCACGGTGCTGCCGCAGGAGACCCACCCCCCAGGGTTTCTGTGGCTCCCAGAGGGGCACCCCAGCTGAGACTAGGGAGGGGGAAGGAAGTGCTCTTCCTCTCCCCCCCCCCCACTCTCGCTCTCCCTCCTGCCTGTGCGGCAGCCTTGACACTGCAACAGACTCCTCTGGGCCAGAGGCTGCGGCAGGGAAGGACAGCCACTCACAGGGCCGAGAAGGGAGGGAGCTGGGGAGGCCAGCCTCACCCACTCGGATGTCTGGGGGGGAGGGGGAGGGGAACAGCCAAACGACCTTGCCTCTCAGGAGTCCCTTTCCTGGGGACCAGGGGCAGTCCCTTCCGTTTGCGGCACTCGAGTGACAGTGTAGTCTGCCATCCCTGGGGATCCCGGCGCAGGGCCACCCCGTACTGCCCCGCGCTGTGCACCTGAAGCCGCACTTGCCCCGGGCGAGGGGAGACCGCCCCTGCACGTGCCCTTCTGAAGCTGAACGCCAGACTGTGGGGCTCTAAATCCCACCTCGGGAGCTCCCGGCCACCCTCAGTCCCACCATAGCAGCTGGCCTGCTATGCACAGGGAGCCCCAGCACGGCCGTGACCTCCAGGAGGAGGTCGGCCCCTCCCCCTGCCCGCTTTGCATCCCACCACAGAAGGCACAGCCAAGGCCAGGGAGACCACAGCCTGGGGGAGGGAGATGTCCCCAGCCAGGGACATCTCCTGTCCTCTCTCTCCAGCCTGAACTGGTCTGTCTATAAGGGGCCTCCTGTGTTACGGGCTCCAGAGCAGGACCTGGAGGGGAGAGGGGAGACGGGTGGAAAGGGGGGAGGCTCAGCATTTGGGTTTCCGGAGCTACCCCGGGCCACTTTCTCAGCACACACATGCTTGTCCTTCAGGTCCCCAAGGCCCAGGAGGCAGGGAGCACTCACTGCTGCCAGAGGCCCTGGTGGCTGGGCGCGGGGGTTGGGAGTAGGGGGGGTGCGGGGAGGACACGAAGTCAGCCCGTCAGACCAGAGACAGGCCGGCAGACAGGCGGCACAGAGTTCCAGCCCCCAGGACGGCATCAGCATCTCAGTCAAGGACAGGCTGGTCCAGCCCGCAGGCGACACCCTTGCTGGCTGGAACCCCTCAGGGGCTACAGAACCCCCCTGCCTGCCCTGCCCTGTGTCTCTGCCTCTGGGCCCAAGGCACAGGGCCCAGCTGAGGGAAAAAGCCTTGTGCTCCAGGGCGTCCCCTCCAAACCTGCGCCCTGCAGGCAGCTGGGCCAGTGCCCTGGTCCCACCCGCAGCCTTGAAGGCCGAGCCACGGTGCCCACCCTCCTGGGCCTCGCTGTCTGGCATCATCCAAACCCAAGACGCCCTGCCTCGGGCCATGCTTGGGCACACAGACCTGCCCAGGTCTCAGTCTGCCTCTTTGTCTTGCCTTCCCTCTTCCTTTCTCCAAAACCCGAAAGTATCTTTGCCGGGGAAGCAGGCCCTCAGTGCACCCAGCCCCTGGCTCCCCAGGGGTCTCACAAAGAAGCCTCCGGGTGACATCAGGTATCAAAAGGGAACTGGAGAGGAAGGGCTGGAAGGAATAAGGGGCGATGGTGCCAGCTGGTGGCCCCAGACATCACCGCTCTTCCCCAGTGCAGGGGGGGAGGGGTGACACGCAGGGGCCGCCAGAGCACAGTCGGAGTCCCGGCGTCCCAGCCCTGCCGGTGGCTGAGCCAAGTCCAGGCAGAGGCTTGCGCTGAACTGCAGACGGGGACAGCGGCACCTTGTCACGCCGTCCTGCGCTCTCAGCACCAGAGCTGAAGCGGAGCTCTCTGCAGGGGAAGCAAGAGCCAGGCCCGGCCCTCACCGCCAGGAGCCCAGCAGACACACACCGGCGCACGGAGGCGACCCACAGCCCGGGCCGCGGCTGAGGACAGAACAGGAAATAACGGGAAGCGCTGGGGCTGGTTCCCAAGACCACGCAGGCTCAGTGCAGCGGGGAGAGGGCCAGTGTCCTGACAGGGCCTCCAGAACGGAGAAACCCAGCTCCGCTCAAGGACAGCAATGTTGTCGGAGGCTTGCTCACAGGGGCCCTGTGAGCCAGGCACCCCTCCCCCAACCTCCCCTCCCATGGCCCTGCCTGCCTGCCTCATATGTTTTGGAGTCTGTCCTAATATACCCCCTCCCCCAGTGAGCCTGTGAGGTATTGGAGGGGGGCAGAGGCTGTGCCTCATCACACCCCACATGGCCACGGCCCTCACACGGAGGCTCCGGCACCGGATACACATTTGAAGAGGAGGGGAGGGAAGCTGGAGAGAGTAACCAAGGGAAGGAAAAGAAAAAGAGTTACAGGCAAACAGGAGACAGACCCTGAAGGGTCTGGAGCCTTCCACTCTGCCCAGGGGCACACTGTGGGCTGGGGACAGTGGCCTTGGGTGTCTCAGCCCAGGCTGCAGCCAGCAGCCAGCAGCCAGCAGCCAGCAGCCAGAGCGATGAGCTGGGCGCAGTGGCGCAGAGCCTGGGGGCCAAAGCCACACCTCTCACCCCAAGGACCCGGCTCTACCGCTTCCTGCCGTGTGACCTTGGGCACATCGCCAAACCACATCTGTGAGTGGAGGCTAATGATAGGACCCACCTCAGATGGCCACTGGGGGGGACAGACATGGAAGAATTAGCTTTTATTTTCTTGGCTGAGAACTGATGCTTTGACCATAATGCAGTCAAGGCTCAACAAAGTGGATGGACTCACACAAGGCCGGCACCCCGCGGAGCCTTGGGCACTGTCTGCTACACGGCTGCTCACCTCGCCGCAGAGGGAGGTGACGTGCTGAGGCCACCCAGCACAGACGGGCCACGCGCGCCGGGGTCAACGCTGCTCATTCACTCGGTATCTGTTCAGCACTTCCGACATGCGTGCCAGGAGCCAGAAAGGAGGCACCTGGAGCCCACGTTCCGGGGGGAGAGACACACAGGCCCCGGATGAGACACAGGAAAGACTGGAGGGCAGAGAAAGGAGGCACGTGGTCCTCTGAGGGGGCCCTGAATGGACCTTGTCGAGAAGGCCCCAGAGAAAGGGATGGCCGAGCTGGGAATGAAGAGGAGGGGTGGGAGGCGAGGAGGTGAGGAGAAGCGTCTGGGCAGAGGGCACCACCGGTACCAGCCCCTGGGGCAGCTCTGACGGGCCCCACCACACCCACGTAGAACTCGGGGTAACTTCCGGGTCTGGGCCAAGTTTACCCACCTAGACTGCGTTCCCTTCGGACAGCGAGGACGGCGCGGGCTCTGCCCTGGGGGGTTAGCGCGTCCAGGGCCGGGGCACCGCAGGCCCTCGAGGGACACCACACCGGCGGCGGCTTCCCTCTGAGAAGCACCAGCCGAGGCGCAGACGCTGGGCAGATGCCAGGCCCTCCCCTCGCACCGGGCACGGGGCCGGCGGAGGCCACGGAGCCCCTCACTCACCCTCTGCGTCCACCGTCTCCTTCATGATGATCTCCACCCGCTCCACGTGGTGCCGGTTCCAGAGGCCGTCCAGGGCCTTGCGGTTCTGGTCTCGGAAAGGCAGGATCTGAGCCACGGCCTGCCGGGGAAGGAGGCCAGTGTGCCGCTGGTTCTCAGGGTGAAGGTGGCATCCTGACTCCCAGAAAGGGCCCACGCCTTGCTCCCCCCCCCCCCCCCCCCCCCCCCCCCCAGAGAAGACACTCTCAGTCCCTGGGCTCTATGACCTCACAGCTCTACACAGACTCCAAAAACTGTTAAGTGACCTCCACAGGGCTCCCAGCTCCTCGTTTTGCAAGGAAAAAATACTTCCGATGATTTATCTTCTATGACCATCAACTTTTAATAAAAGAAGAGATCCTTTTACCACTATAACTGGGGCAAGAAAAGCTTTACACTGAATACGTTCAGTAAATTGAATGTACTCTTTGCTCGTTTTCCCAGAAATAGGTGAAAACCTCACCAGCTCAGACTCTGGTCTGAGGCCCACTCTCTGGGAACGCGGCAGCTCCAAACGGGGCTGGAGAGAAAGCAGCGCCTCCGTCCTGAAGACGATGAGGTACCCACCCGCGTGGCCCCGGGCCCACCAGCCTGGTCGGCACCAAAGGACACCGTGCTGTGTGCTCTCCACTGGGGCCTGTAGGGAAGGCTGTCCCAGAGGCGCTCCGAGGGCACGCTCAGAGCGGAGCGGCCAGCGGCCTGCATCACAGGAGGGCCCCCAACGCTCCGCCACAGAACCTGGCTGAGAAGCACGGACTTGGGGTCCCTACTCGGTGTGGGATCTTGTTACCAGCCTTGGGCTCAGAATAGAACTCGGAAAGATATGGAAACTGAAAAAAGGCAGGTAGATGTGGAAGAAGTTAATTCTAATCCCCACACCAGGATGCACTGGAAGCCAGGCCGACACCAGAGTCCTGGGGCCACCTGTGTAGACGATGCAGGGTGGCGATGAGAATGCGGCCGGCTGCATGGATGAGGGCCACGGTCCTGCCCCCAACACTCTGCTTTTCCTCCAGCCTCTCGCTGCCAGCCCGCCTTCGGGACAGCCACGGCAGCTCGGGTTTCACAGCGGCCCAGGCCCAATCCCACAGCTAGCAGTGCGGCTCCCCACCGATGGGGTCTCCCTGCGCCCGGCCCCCTCTAACGCCCACAGTTGCCGCTCACCTGCTTGCCCAGGTAATGGTCCACGCGGTACATCTCCTCCTCTCGGAAAAAGCTTCCAAGCTCCGCGGCCAGCTGCTGAGCGGAGAGGTGGTCATGGCCGAAGGGCTTCTCGAGGACGACCCGTAGCCAGGCGCCTGGGCCGGGGCGGCAGCTGCCATTAATGTTGCGGGCAATGTCCGCGTAGGCAAAGGGCGGCACCGAGAAGTAGAAAATCCGGCCAGCCTCCCGGACGCCCTGGCGCTGGACCCGCGCCTCAATGTCCGTGCTCAGGGCCGCGTAGTCCTCGCCAGTCTTCAGGCGGTGATAGCCGCTCAGCTGCTGGAACTGGCCCTTGAGCTCGGCACAGCGCCCAGGCGCCACGTCCTCCGGGCAGGAGAGGGACTCCATGACCTTGGCTATGAACTCCTGGCCCTGCTTGGTGGACGTCAGGGCAGCCCCATGGAAGCTGAAGCTGTAGGCCTGGCCCGCCTCGTCCAGGTACAGCTGGAACAGCCCCTGCCACAAGTACTTCCTGGCCAGGTCCCCAGTGGCTCCCAGCAGGATTACGGAGACGTGTCCCCCGAGCTCCTGGGCCCGCAGACAGCCCAGGAGGGCCACGCACATCGCCATCGTGAGCATCTTCCAGCAGCCGGGGTGCCTGGGCACAGGTGAGGCAGACAAGGAACAAGGAAAGATCAGACACGGTTCAGGAGGCTGGGACACGGAGGTACACCCGCTTCCGGGCTGTCAAACATTTCCTGCCTGGCACAAACAGCCACGTTTCTCGGGACAGTGTTACAATCCCTCAGCTTCCCCACTGCATCCCCCACCCCCCCAGCAGCTTGGCTTCTGGTGCGGAGGGGGCCCACCCCGTAGTAGGGGCTGTACACGGGGAGGGGGTAGGCCCCTTGCGAGAGGTGGACAGCTGGGCTGCGGGCAGCTCCGGGGGGTGGCCCCCAGGGCTGCCGTGGGACTGGAGCGCACCCCTGATGGCCGCTGCCAGTCTCACGCGCGAGCACGGGTCGCCAGGCCCATCAGCTCAGGACTGGTGGCAGGTCCTCAGGTGATGGCCAGAGCCGCAAGAAGCCAGGTTCACACTCCCACCCACCCCCCCGTTGCTGCTCACTTTGCTTCTCCTGCATCTGCTGGGCTCCGGGCCCAGCACGATTACTAATGACCCCTGCGGTGCGGTAATAACAGCACTGACTCTGGAACCCACTGGGGTGGAATCCTAGCTCAACTCCTTCCTGTTTGACTTTGGACAACTACCCAGTCTCTCCATACCTCAGTTTCCTCATCTGAAACGGGGGTACCGGTGACTTATCGCACAGGGTTATTATAAGGACAAAACGAGTTAGTATTTATCAGATGCTTGGGACACTGGCCACCACCCCCGGAGCACTGTGTAAGTGGCAGCTGTCACTAGGGTGCGTTAACGACAGCAGCCGCCCGGAACGGAGTGCTTCGTGCATACAATCTCACCGAGTCCGGACAAAAGCCTTGAAAAGAGCCAGTGGAGCGGGTGCTATTGCAGTTTCCCTCTTGCAGAGAGAAAAGCTGAGGCTCAGACGGTGAAGGAAGGTGAGGAAGGAGGGCGCCCAACGGGCACCAGGCTCTCTGGCCCCTGAGCTGACACATGGCAAATGCATGCTGCAGCCTTCCCAAGGTGTGCCTGACGCCCGAGGTGCACCTAACATCCTGGCTGCTTTCAGGTTAATTTAAAGCGGCTGACGTGTATGAAAGGCAAGCGGCCTCAGACCGGCCGCAAATGCACCAGAGGAGTTGCTTTCACTTGCCTTCTGTTCTGACCAAGGTTGTAAGGCTTTAACGTGCTCAATTCTTACTCCACGGCTCTCCCGTTCTCCAATTTCCAAGGGCCAGTGCTCTGGGGGAAAGGTAGGAGCGAGGGGGAAAGCGATCGTGGTCAGCTACTCGGCTCTCAGAACTAGACAGGGCAACAGGGCCCAGCCCCGGGGAGGGGGGATGGGGGATGGGGGGCTGGAGCACCGACAGGGAACCGAGATGACGGGCAGCAGGAGTTCCCGGATGAAGGAAGAACAAAACCCTCAACAGTGAGGCTCCAATCTGGCTGTGCAGGTAGGGAAAGGGAGGCTTAAGGAGATATCTGGCCAGCTTCCCTTCCCGCATCCCTGGATCATCGCCCACCTTGAGTGGGACCAGAGCTACCCTCCGACAGCACCCCTGGCCCCCACTTTTCCCTTTGCCTCCTCCTCATCTCTTTGGATGTCACAGTTAGTGGCCAAACCGAGATGAGGCTCCGACAACAGAATCTGCATCAGAATCTACAGGACACCGGACATCTCCTCTATGGCGGCCTGACGTGGCGGGTAAAGGGACCGGCTGCGTGGCCCCCAGCCTTCCCCTGCACTCCCCCCTACCCTGCACACTCACTCCCCTTCTTCCTTCTCCCAATCCCTGTCCTTGGCCCTTAGTGCATTTCTTCCTCAACTGGCAATCGCCCCTGCCTGGAGGGAAGACAGAGCTGCAAGGTCAGTGAGGGAAGAGGCGGTGAGAAATCTGAAGCCCAGAGAACAGCCTGGAGAAGGGGGAGCCTCCAGCTGGCAGGCTGCGTTCCAGAGCTCCTGATCCCACACCGGGAACCAGGGCTCCGGACAGACGTGCTGGAGATGCAGGAGGAGGAGTCCGGGACCTCAGGGAGCCTGGATGGGCGGGTGAGGGGGCTCCAAGGACCAGTCCCTCTCCCCCAGCCCCGGAAGACTGCAGAACTGCCCTGTCCCCAAGCCCGAGCCCCCAGTCACTGGGCTAAACAGCTTCCTCAGTCAAGGGGAGGCATGCAGCACCTGGGTCAGAGGACCAGGGCCCGAGACCACCTCCCGGCTGGGTGATCTAATGAAGTCACCCAGTCAGTTTGGGTCCCTGTTTCCTAACTGTGACACAGGGCTAACACCACCGAACTACACAGCGGGCTTGTGACGATTAGCTGAGGTAACACAGGCAACAAAACCCTACGCAGACGTCAACAAATTAGCTGAGTGTAAGGCGCCTCCTGGCTCCTGAGGGTGGCATAATGCCACCAACCATGCGCACTGGGCGTCTCAGCTGGGACAAAGCCCCGCCCTGCAGGCAGCCCTGAGGACCGACCTCGGGCATTTAGGGCACAGTCCCCAGACCAGTCCCCACGCCCAGCCCCGAAAGGAGGGACACAGTGACTGCCACGGTCATCCCATCCCCCTTGCTGCCCCGGCGGCAGGGAGACAAACAGGCTTCGAGAAGCCTAACGAAGCCAAGAACAGGGCCCAGCCCTGGAGCAGGGGTGAGGCGACAGGGACTCCAGACGGCTCCAGCACAGCCACCGACGGTCTAAGCCGCTCTTGCGCTGAAGGCCCCGCTTTTGCGGGTGTTTCAGAAGCGCTTCCCCCGCCTCTCTGCCTGCTCCAAGAGGCCTAACCGCACCCCCTAAAATTACACACTTAAATGAACCACAAAGCACGGACGTGGCGCACCGACCGCTGGTACTGCTATGAATCGTTCCTATTTTTAATTAAATGTAAGTTCTCTGCGGTGGCCGGGTGGTTCAATCGGCTGGGCGTCCGACTGCAGCTCAGGTCATGATCTTACAGTTTGTGAGTTCGAGCCCCAGGTCAGGCTCTGTGCTGACAGCTCGGAGCCTGGAGCCTGCTTCGGATGCTGTGTCTCCCTCTCTCTCTGCCTGTTGCCCACTCATACTCTATCTCAAAAATAAATAAACACTAAAAAAAAGTAAGTTTTCTTAGTCTGGCGCAGGAAGGGCAGCGTGTGAGACTGCGTGTTGGGCTAAGCGGGTCATTCTCCTCCGGCTCCTGCCCCCAACGGCCACGTTACCTTGATTACGTCTCGCCAAGCGGTTCGCCCTGCGAAGGCCCCTCGCCCCGTCTATGAGGCGAAGAGACTTAGCTGAAGGGTCGCTACTGGGCTGCTGCCCCCAAATCCTGGATTTTCCAAGGAAAGGAGAGGTGCCCTCTCTCAGCAAGGGAGAGGCCCCAGCTGGGTGCCCACCTCAGGCAGCCAGGGTGGCCCCGGGCAGCGCGGCCCCGGGGGAGCGGACGGGGTCACTGCACCGGGCAGCAAAGAGCTGACAGCGGAGTGCCCTTCAGAAGTGAAGACAAGACTCCTTGAAGCTTTGGCGGAAGCGTGTGAAGGGCACGATGTCACTTACAACACTTTCTTGCCAGAAACACGCTACCCCACTGAGTGCCGTGCCGCGGGGCCTCCTCTAGGGAGGTGCAGACGACCGTCTTCACACAGGCTCGTCTCGGTGTCATGGCTGATGCGGCCCATGTCCGCAGTCCTGCCCTCCCCCAGTCCGGCCGGAGGGGTTCCCGTCAGGGCGTCCTGGGCGGCTCACCTTTGCAAGAACAGCTCCGCCAACATTCTCGAAGCCGCGAACACCAACCTGGCCAGCCAGAGGGCCTGGATCGGAATCTGGTTCCAGGCTTTGCTTCTGCCCAAGCGAAAGAGGCAGCCGTGCCTGACCGGCCCCCACAGGCCCAGCGTGTGCTGGCGCTGGGGGGGGGGGGGCGGGGGAGGGCTCTGGTAAGCCACAGGAGGGAGCAGCGCCGGTCCTTGGCTCCCAGCAGACCCCGGGGCAGGGGACAGGAGCGGGAAGGTAAAGGTCAGTGGCTGCGGCCACCCTGTTCCCTCTCCCAATGCCACATCGACACCTTTGGCCTCCACCTTCTGTTTGCCAAACGGGAAGGAGGGGCCTGTTTTCTTCAAATCATGGCCCAGGAGTTCGGAATTTTAGAAAGAATGCGTGGGAGTAAAACAAGAGTTCAAACTAAAGATCGTTTTTTAACCAGAGTGCGAGGGGAGGGGCCCAGTGCCCCAGACGATCACTAAGGCAGGTGTCTTTCCCGAACTCTCCTGGTTCTGGCCCACCTGTACCAAACACGCCCACGCTAGTCCAACCCTCAGCTACTCTGCGGGCTGTGGCCCTCCCTTCCCGGTCCCCTGGGGACGAGACGGGGATAAGAGGTGCAAGATCAGGCTCTGGGACCCGCTTCCCTCCCAGACCTCGGAGAATCCTTACTCCCATCACCTCTTCAGTGTGTTGGGTCCCCACGACCCAAATGGTGTGCTGGAGCCACCTGGTACCTGCACGCAAGATGCACCTGCTGAGTTTTCGGGGAATTTTTCAAGCCGGTTGTTAAACACAGCCATTGAATTAAAAAACCAAATGAGAGCGCCTGGGTGGCTCAGTTGGTTAAGCGTCTGACTTCAGCTCAGGTCATGATTTCACGGCTCAGGAGTTCAAGCCCCGCATCGGTCTCTGTGCTCTCGGCACAGAGCCCGCTTTGGATCCTCTGTTCCCCCCCCCCCCTTTGCCCTTCCCCCACTTGCGTTTTCTCTCTCTCAAAAAGAAAAAGTTTAAACCAAATTGTACAAATTTATGACCCAAAAAATTATATTCAGAAGTAATAAATACTTAGAGCTGATCGTTTCGTATTTTACTATATTTTACTATTAACCTGGGCCCTTGACATCATTTCCATCTACTATGTCTGTAAGGCGAAGATACTCTACAGTGGGGTGCTTGAGACAGCCTGTGCAGGGGTATTACACCACAGATACCGACAAAGGCTGTAAATCGGGCTCCCCCTCACCAAGCCCCACCCCTGCAGAACTGTTACACAGTTACCAGCATACAACACCACAGGGATATTACACCACAGATACTGGCATTTGCCAGGTACAACACCAGGTCCTCCCCTCCAGTCTGCGCTCTCTCCCCCTCAACTCCAAGCTCACACAATCAACACGACTCGGCCACCAGTCACTGGGTGTCTGTAAGACTTACTATGTTCAAAACTGAACGGACCCATCCCCTGACCTGATCTACTGCCCCAGCCTCCGGAAACGGTAACTCGACCCTTCCGGGAGCTCAGGCCGGAAACTTTGGGGGTCATCCCATCTCTCAGCGGATCCTATAGTTTCTATCATCGAAATTCATCCAGACTATAACTACTTCCACCACCCCACTCTGGTCCTAGCCACCATCACCTCTGTCCGGGTTATCATAGGAACCACCTAACTGGCCTCCCGTTTCCTCTGCCTTTTCCTGAGCATGGCACTCGGCCACCTCTTATGGCCTCCCACCCATGATCTCTTCTGCCACTGTGCCCCTCTCTAGGCTCCAGCCACCCGTCTTCCTGCCTCAGGGCCTTTGTACTTGCTGTTCGCTCTGCCTGACCTACTTCCCCCTGCAGATGTCCACATACTTCACTCTTTCCCTAACTTGAATTCTTTCCTGAAATGTCACCTCGGTGAGGCTCTCTCAGCCGATTCTGTAAAACTGCAAACCTCCTACCTCCATCTCAGCCCCTGCTCTATTTCCCTCCGTGGTACGTATCATTCTCTAATATACTGTCCTTGAAAAGTGTATTTGTTTTATCGCCTGTCGCCCCTCCCCGCAAGTGCCAATGGGGGAAGGGGCTTTGTGGTTTGTTTGCTGATGGTCTCCAGTATCCAAAACGGGGCCTGGCCCACAGAAGGGGCACAAGTAAATCCCATTTTGTAGAAGACCACTGTCACCTGTGTGCAAGCCGTCTGCATCTGAACGATAGCACAAAGGAAGGAATCTACCGGTGACTTCGAGCACTAAGGCACAGTTTGCATTCACAGTAACACCACCAGTTATGACAAAAGAAACATTTACAGACCGTCTAACTATATGCCGATCCTAGAGCTTCACATGCACCAAAGCTTTTAAATTCTTGCCACAACCCGGGAGCTAGGTACCATTACTCTGCCCACTTGCAGAACGAATTCAGGAGAAGCCAAGGTGCACGGAGGGAAAAGGACTCACTGGAGGGCAGGCAGCTCAGAGGGGATCGGATGTGAACACAGGCGGTCTGGCTTCAGCCCTTGCGTCCCACCTACCAGTAAAACGTGTGACTACACCCCCAACGGTGGAATTTAAAACCCTGCATTGGTGTGGACACGGATTCTGCTCCTCGAAGAGACTGGAACAATCGTGGTGCAGTCTATCTCCCTCACGTGTGTCTCAACCACGGGGCAGGCAAACAAGCTGATAAGAAGCACAAAATGAGGCAATCCGCATACGGCCCTTGGCACGAGTCAGCCTACAGTAAGCTGACTTAGAAATGTTTGTTTCTATCATTATGAAACCAACGGCATCATGAGCAAAGGTACTTTTCTTGCTAGTTTCTTGGAACTGCTGCAAAAGGAATTAGCCATCCCACAACAGAAAGGGGAAAAAAATGCCAAGAAATGGCTCATCAACGGCTTTCATGACCTTCCTGTCATACTGGCTGGGGGAAAAAAAATCAAAGAAATGTGATGCCAGGAAGGTTAAAAGTCCCCACCCCAGCCCTCGAGGGATTTATGATCTGACCCAAAGAATAGGCGCCTAAACCCCTTCACTCTGGAGCTGTAGGCTTTTCACCTAACTGCTAAGGGGCTTTCTCCAGCTGTAAAACGGGGATCATCCACCTCATTTTAAGACGGGGCCAAAACCAAAACCAAACCAAACCAAACCAAACCAAAACACCCAGATCATGGATGTGAAAAATGTTTTAGAGGGCAATGGCGGTAAGTCTCCCAAAGAGCCACCTGGCTCTCAAGTCAGGGCAGCAAACAGCAAAACCAGACTTCCTGCTCTGCCCCTGGGTCAGGACCTGGCAGGATCCACCGTGAAATGTGGCCTCAAACAATGACATCTTACCTTGTTCAAATTCCACCTTGAATAAAGCGAGAAGTGGCTAGGCCACTGATAAAGGGATCTCGAGGCTTCCCTCTCAGACGGCCTCAAACCGTCGGACTCCAGAGTAACTTAGGAAACTCCAGTCTCTGCATAAAAATAACTTGAATGTCTGCCTAGAGGAGTTATTTGTTGGGCAGTCATGTACCTCAAAAGAAAGTTACGTAAAGGACTGTCAGAAATGAGCTCTCTTCACGCCGAACAGGGAGCATTTTCATCTCAAGTGTCCCTAAAACTACCCAAAAGATTAGCCCCATCGGCTCAAAACGTCTATCCGCCTTCGATCAGGGCAGAGAATGTGCCTAAGAGTTTAAAATATGCCCATTTCTACACCAGGACCCCCCTAATTCGCTGGCTTTAGAAGCCATGGGCCTGGCTGGGTGGAGAGGGGGTGGGCAAAGAATTTCGGTTTATGATCTTTCCAGAAGTTCTCATTTCCAAGCGAACATTCAAGTTTAAGGGAGCCGATGTTCAAAGATGCAGCTAGGTTTGCTTCTGGAAAACTACGCGTCGGGTGGGTGTGTTGCGAACGCTGACTGAAACCCGAGGGCTAAGGCCAAAGATCAAGCTGCTCTCCAGACAGAAAGCACTGGACTCGGCCGCTCATTGCGCTGACTTTCCAGAAGGCCCGGGGAAAGGGACGCCGGGGGCTCCTCCAAACTAGCCTCCAGGGGGGCTGCCCGCCCGCCCGGCCCGCCGCCAAGGGCTCTGCGGACGAGGAAGCGGGGCCGGGAGGGGCTCGGGCCGGAGCGCGAGCAGCGGCGGGCGCGCGGGGGCCGCGGGGACGCTAACGCCCGAGGAGTCCGGGCCGCGGGGCCGCCGCACCGACCTCGGGCTCGGCCCGGCGCGAGTGCGCGGCCGCCGCTCACTGTCCCCAGCGCCCGCGGCCGCGGGAGCCGGAGACCCGGCGGGGAGAAGCTTACTTCATCTCGCCCGTCGGAGCCGGCCGCTTCTCCGGGAAACGTCGGCGGCGGCGCGCGGCGGGCCGGGCTCGGGCCAGGCCGGGGCCCCGCTCATCCTCTTCCGCGGGCGCGGCGCGGCCCGGCCCGACAGGTGCGCGTCACGCGGCCGCGCGGCCGCCGCGCGCTCCGGTTTCGCCGAGCGTAACCCGGAGCCGAGTCCGCCGCCCCGCCCCACCCGCGCCGCGTCCCGCCTGGGAGCGCGGGGGCCCCGCGGGCCTGGGCCCCAGACCACCACGGTCAAGGCGCGTGCGCGCCGGGCCGGCTCGGGGGCGCGCGCGCAGTCAGGCTCCCGGGCGAGAGGCGAGGGGCGGAGGCGCAGGCGAGACCACGCCCCCCAGCTCGGGGTCGGACGAAGGGTGGGGGGGGGGGGGCGGAGCCTCCCGAATGATTTCTTGGTTAGCGCGGATAGGGCGGGATTCTAGAGTGAAGTGGGCGGGCAAGAGGCCCGCCGGCGCTCCGGTCCGCAGCAACGGGGTCTGCGGTGCATTTTAGGGGCTGCCGTCTGGGACACCCGGATAGCGGGGGAAGTGGCTGTGTGGCGCAGGAAGCCTGGGAGCCGGGTGGCCGGGTCCTCCCTGGGATCCGGCATAAGCTGTGGGACCTGGAACAGGTTACTCACCTCCTCAGGCCTCGCTCTTCGCCCTCTGTCCAGTGAGCAGCTTCGTTCATCCCACCTCCAGAGCCCGGACGTTGTGATTTAGGGCTCAGACAGCGCGCTCTTGCCTGGCCCCCACGTTCAGCTTCAAATCTCTGCTCACACCCGTGTGACCCTGAAGACACAAACCGGAGACTCAGTTATTTCATCTGTACGATGGGGCCGATGAGAGTGTGGCCTTCGCCTGTAGGGTGGTGGCGAGGTGCATGCGTGAGAGGACGCGGTCAGCTGCTCCCATCAGCGCTCCGCATGGTATGCAGCCCTCTGGCCCAGTCCTCACCAGTGTCGTGCAGTATCTGACCCTCACCCTGCAGCGACCTCATACCTACTTTTCTCCCAGCCCTACAGGCTGTCAGGGCCTGTAGTGGCACCTCCGCCATCAGAGAGGCAGCCGCTCCTTCCTGAGAGTCAAGGGCCTGAGTGACCTCGGGCTAATTAAGGCAGGGCTCCCCGGGGCCACCTCCCCCCCCCTCCCCGTCCCTACTCCTAGAGCATCTTAGCTCTGCCCCTCCTCCAGACCCACCTTCCGCCCACCACGGGGACAGGAGAAGGCACCGCCACCTCTAGTGAAGAGCGCGGACCACCCCGGAGAGCGGATTCTGAGTGGGGAGAAAAAAAGCTTGTCGCAGCTTTTTCTTTCATGAAGGTTCCATGAGAGGTAGAGCAATGAGAGCTAGCAGAGGGAACTTGGCAGTGGCCAGCAAAACCGAGCGGGGCCAACAGGCATGATTACCACACAGGATATTGGGCAAGAGGGTTCCAGGAAGGCTGGAAAGCTGAAAGGGGCTGGGCCCCACTGTCACCAAGGCCAGGGGCCATCTGGGGGCCTGCAGTGAGCTGTCAGGCCTCAGGAAGAATTCAGGCGGTATGCTGGGGAGGATCTGGGATCTGGGGGCGGAGGGGATCAAGGAGCCCAGTACCCACTGGGCTGCCTCCACAGCCGGATGTGGGCAGGAGGGTCTAGGGCAGGTGCCGGGCAAAACAGTCGGGGAGATACCAGGACTCCTGTCCAAGAGGCTTCCCTGTTCTGCAACCCTCGGTGCACCGTGTCCTCACACAACTGTGTGAACTGGGGCCAAGGGAGGCATAGATGGAAGAAGGCAGGTGCCTGAAGAATGGGATGAGCCAAGGGGACCTTTCCCGGGTCCCTACAGAGCCATCACAAGGGTGGTCTGCAGGTACCTTGAGGGCATCTTTAAAAAGTATCCTATAGGGGCGCCTGGGGGGCTCAGTCGGTTAAGCATCCAACTTCAGCTCAGGTCATGATCTCACGGTTCATAGGTTTGAGCCCCGCGTTGGGCTCTGTGCTGACAGCTCAGAGCCTGGAGTCTGCTTCAGATTCTGTGTCTCCTCTCTCTCTGCCCTTACAATGCTCTCTCTGTCTCGTGTTCATATGTGTCTCACTAATAAATAAACGTTAAGAATTGAAAAAAAAAAGTATCCCATAGGCAAGTCAACCGTAAGCAGCCCGTTAAGAACATTCATGTGTCCACTTAAGGTGTCAGCCGGGCGGGGTCTGCGCCTCGGATGAAACGAGCCTAGGATATTAGCCCTGTTCTCCCCACTGACAGCTGCTCGTTCCGACTCTGTACCTTTAGTCTGACCTGGGCCATTGCTTTGCCTTCTTTCCATCATGAAAATAATTTGGTCTCATCTAGGTGTAAGAGCACCGCCCCCGCCACACCCACAAATCTACAACCTCGTCCCTTTGGGCCTGTGATTGGCTCCTGGACGTCTGTCGACCCAAAGCTTTTCTCATTTCTGTGCTCCAGGCAACATCACAGGGGACCAGATGCGCCCAGAACCCTCCGAAGGAAGCCGGAGAGAAGAGCGGTGTCCCCATGCGGCACGTGCGGCCCCGAGTGTGTGTGGCTTCTCACCTGTCACGGAGCGCCCTGGAGTCTCTTCTCCCAGCGACTTTTTCTTTCATCTTCCTAAACTGTGGGGCAGGCAGGAGTCGGGGTTAACTCAGCCTGCTTCACTTCACAGACTTGGAAAGTGAGACCCAGAAAGATGAATGACTCACAAGAGAGGTCTGTGGAGTTAGAAAGAAAATCACGTGGCGGGTTCTATTTTCAGAACGACTCACCAAGTCAGCTCCGCTCGTTCACCGGGAGGGGAGGGGGGAACAGGTGTTGTGGATTTGCAGCCACAGTCGACGTTTCATCCCCAGAATGAGAAAGCTCAGCACTTTTTCTCCCCTAAAGATGGGCTTCGCGAAGTCTACAGGAAGGAGCTACCTATTGTTTTTCTATCGCTACCGTGACAACTTGCGGCCATTGAGTGACTTAAGCAATGCAGACGTATTGTCTTACAGTCCCATGGGTCAGAGGTCCAGCGTGGGGCTCCCTGGGCTAACACCGCAGGGTTGCAGGGCCACGATCCTTTCCAGGGCAGCCCTTTTCTTGCTCATTTGGATGCTTCCAGAAGTCAGTTCCTTGTGGTTTAGGACTGAGATCCCTGTTCTCTTGTCTGCGCTGACAGAGAGGAGCCTGCTTGGGATTCTCTCTCTCTCCCCCTCCCTCTCTGCCCCTCCCTGGCTTGTGCTCTCTCTCTAACTCTCTCTCAAAATAAATAAACTCACATTTAAAAAAATAAAGTGTACAATTCATTGGTTTTCAACAGCCACGGAGAGGTGTAACCACCAGCAATATCAATTTAGAACATTTTTATCGCCCCAGCAAGAAACCATATATCTATTACCACTCACTCCCCATTTCTCCCCGACCATCTCAACCCTAGGCAGCCACTAATCTACTTTCTGTCCTTGTGATTTGCCAATTCTGGACATTTCATACATGTGCAATCGTATAATATGTGGCCTCTTGGGTCTATACAGACCCAATGTTACAATGTTTTCAAGGTTCATCCATGTTGTAGTATATATCAGTGCTTCATTCCTTTTATTGCTAAATAATATTTGATTGTATGGATATGCAATATTTTATTTGTCCATTCATTAGTTCATGGACAAACTGATATTTCCACTTTAGGGGTATTGTGTATTATAATACTGTTATGAACATAAGTATCTGTGTTTTTCTGTGGACCGGTTTTTATTTCTCTTGGATATATACCTAGGAGTAGAATAGGTCAGTCATACGGTAACTCCACAATTAACTTTTTAAAGAAACTGCCAGAAACCGTAAGAGACTCTTAAATACAGAGAACAAACCGAGGGTTGATGGGGGGTTGGAGACAGGGGAAAGTGGGTGATGGGCATTGAGGAGGGCACTTGTTGTGATGAGCCCTGGGAGTTGTATGGAAGCCAATCTGACAATAAATTGTACTTAAAAAATAAATAAATAAAAACAACAGAATGGAAGGAAGGAAGGAAGGGAGGAAGGAAGGAAGGAAGAAATTGCCAGACTGTTCTCCCCAGCGGCTACACCAGTCTGTCTACATTCCCACCAACAGTGTGTGAGACTTCCTATTTCTCCACATTCTTGCTGGCATTTGCTATCATCTGACTGGATTCTAACCATCCTCGTGAGTGTAAGTTGGGATCTAACTGTGATATTGATCTACATGTTTTTGATGGCTTTTGTCACTGAGCCTCTTTTCATGGCCTTATTGGCTACTTGTTTATTTTCCTCGGAAAAACGTCTAGTCAGATTCTTTGCCCATTTTTCAGTCGGATTATCTTTTTATTACTGAGTTGGTAGAATGCTTTATATATTCTAGATACAAGGTCCTTTCCAGATGGATGGCTTGCAAAAATTTTCCCCATTCTGTGTGTTGTCTTTTTACTTTCTTGATGGTGTCCTTCGAAGCATGAGAGTTTAATTCTGATGATGTGCACCTGCTCTATTTTTTCTCTGGTGGTTTGTCTTTTTAGTGTCATATTCTACGAAGGCTTTGCCTGATCCAATGTCATGAAAATATAGGCTTGCATTTTCTTCTAAGAGCGCAATAGTTTTAGCTCTTACATTTAGACTCTTGGTCCGTTTTGAGTTGATGTTTGTATATGACATGAGAGGTGCCAGGTCTGCCTTCATTCTTTTTCATGTGCATATCCAGTTTTCCCAGAATGCTTTGTTGGACTGTCCCGGAAGGTACTCC